TACCACCGCCGCCCGGCATCATCAGTATTGGAACTCTGCGCTGGCTGCTGAAGATGAGGACGGAGCGTGCATGGAAATGCCCGAGTGCTGTGATGTCAATTCTTGACTCAACTCAACTCACAGTATAGACTATAAAAAGAAAGAAAGAAAGAAAGAAAGAAGAAGAAGAAGAAGAAGAAGAAGAAGAAGAAGAAGAAGAAGAAGAAGAAGAAGAAGAAGAAGAAGAAGAAGAAGAAGAAAAAGAAGAAGAAGAAGAAGAAGAAGAAAGAACAAGCAATACATCTGACGAAACACAGCAAAATGTCACAGGCAATAAATTGTGCAATATATTGTTTGTGTCCTCAATTTGTTTTTTTTTTTTTAAATAAGAAAATACTTACAACGGCTATTGCCACTTGAGGTCCTTTCAGAATCCAAAATAAAGCTTGAGTCGGATGCGTGTTCCAACATCTGGGGACATAAATCAAAGTTTATAATTTCCAAAATTCCCCGTTATTAACCCCCCCCCCTCCCCCTCCCACATTGCAATCTGTCCACTAAGTATTAAGTTTATAACAGCGAGGTGCCTAGATAGGCAAACACACTTAACATCACTCTCAGCATAATAGTTTTCTTCTTGCTGTTTCATCCTTTGCATGCCGATCTGAAAGATTTTAAAGGAAACAGCTTGAAATGAGGAAAGATTTTATTCACCACACCTAGCAATAGGCGTTTCGTCTTTTTTAGGACGACATTTTTTGTTATTTGAAGCCCCACCCTAGCGTTTGCCAGGGGCCGCAAAATAGGCAGGCCATAAATGTGGCCAATTGTCTGAACGCGGTTTCTGGGACCTCCCCACGGCGATCCTCATCCACATGGTGGCACTTTGTGTCATCGGGTGTTTATCGCTTTGTGTGATGTCCTGGTGGGGTAGAAAGTCAGTCAGTCAAATGAGGAAAGTCGTGGATGGCTCTAACTGAAGATAACATCTGGCTGACGGTCAAACTCGAACAAATACACAGAGAGCAGGAATAGGCCGATGGAACACACACAACAGCAGTTTCCATTAGGTTTTTTTCATATTAGGAAGAGAATGTAGAGAGTGGTTAGTGCAACGGTATTTCAGAATTAGGGGTACAACAATTGACATTTGTAAAAGCTGGGCTAGATGATGCAGCAGAGGTGTACACACATGGCTCCCTTCATCGGGCTGTAAGATCTGGCTGGGGTTTTCGGCTAGGGTGAGGGGAAAGAAATGGCTAAACAAAATGGTAGACAATCACTGTAGCTCGGCTGAACAAAATGGTAGACAATCACTGTAGCTCGGCTGAACAAAATGGTAGACAATCACTGTAGCTCGGCTGAACAAAACGGTAGACAATCAATGTAGCTCTATGTTGGATAGCAGAAAATAGTTATTGGAGGCATCATAGTCTCTGATTCTCAGTCGGGACAGGGGAAGTTTTAAAATGGACCATTATAGCATCAGTGGGTACCAAGCATGAGCACATCAACAGTACAGGGACTCAAGTGAATACACGGTCCGCAACATGAACGAGTGCGAGGGAACGAAAGAGCGGATTTTGTGGCTATAAAAGCGATAGCTGTGGAGCACTGGTACTGAACAAAGGAAACATTATCATCTTAAATCAACTATCTAACGAATTTGTTAACTGTCAATACGTTTACAAATATATTTGTCTTCATAACATACTCAGCTGAATAATTTGTCTTAGAAAAAAAAAAAAAAAACATGCATGTTTTCATACATTTTTGTTGTTGTTGTTGAAAGCATCGGTTCATTAGTTTTTATGTTCTTCCGTTGTGTCTTTGCTTTTTCATCAGAAACCATATATTGGATGCCGCCAAATGTTTCAGAAGTTTGTACCGTTACTCTTCGTCGTCGTCAAAGTCGCCTCTTTCTCCTTCAACTTCACCTTCTTCTTCTTCTCCTTCTTCTTCTTCTGCTTCTTATTTTTGTTCTTGTTCTTCTTCTTGTTCTTCTTCTTTCTCTTGTTCTTCTTGTTAGTCCTCTTTTTCTTCGTCTTCTTCTTTTTTTTTTTTTCTTCTTCTTCTTCTTCTTCTTCTTCTTCTTCTTCTTCTTCTTCTTCTTCTTCTTCTTCTTCTTCTTCTTCTTCTTCTTCTTTTTCTTCTTCTTCTTCTTCTTCTTTTCTTCTCCTGCTCCTCATTCTCCTCCTCCTCCTCCTTCAAACAACGTTTGCCACACATCTATTCCATCCGGGTCACCAACAGCACTTTTGCCACGATTATTCTTCTTTAAATCATAACCTTATATTTCCATCAGACTATGATTGTTGACAAGATGTCGGTACTTATTCGCACTAGGATCAGACGTATCTAGATCGAATCTACAAATCTAAATCCGGGTCATCTTTACGAACTTTGTGCGCGCTAAGATGTTACCGTTATGTTGAGTAGGAGGAGGCGGAGACACTAACGCTGGTCTTCAAACTTCAAGCCGAGCCGTGTTGTGTACTCTTGTTTCTCTCTGATTTACATAAATTTTCGAGACAGACATTCCAATTCTCTATACAGCCTTATAAAAACATGGACAGCTGGAAAAATAAATCAATAGAGCTTCATGACAAGTGCTTCGTCTGTATATTGATTAAAGGGCTAATAATATCATGTCTCACTCTTATGTAGGATTTCTTTTGATACAGACATGACAGATTTGCACAGAATATCCACTCTAGACCAAGTGCTAAGGCTTTCATACATTGCACTTTAAGCTACTTTCTGGAATTTTTTATAAATATGCGAAAAAAAAAAAAAAAAAAAAAAGCAGACGGTTCTCAAATTTAGAATACAACACCCCCTCCCCCTTTTTCCCCCCAGGAAAAGAAGTTGCGGGAGGGGGAATAATGATATATTTATGTGGCCTTCGCCCTTCGAAAGGTGGCTGGTTGGTTATGTTTCCGTTTACAGAAAGGCTGTGTGATCTGCGCCTTTCGGTTAAACAAATATAATTTCAGGAAATATAATGTATTAATAGCCTTTTACAACGGTGAGGGCGTTGAAAAAAAAAAACGGTCCATGTTAGCTATACGGGAAGTGATGGAATACCGTATTGCTGTGGTCCTATTAAATATGAATGTCGATGTTAATTGACGAAAGGATCAAATAGAAACTAAATGCTATGTACTGAATAGAGCTAGACCGTCATCCCCCTGTTTCAGCAAAAGACAATCCCAATCAGCACAAACAAACATCTCATACAAAGCATATTCATCCCCGCCATATGCTACCAGTGCCAGACCTAGTCAATCACAACAAATCATTGACGAGAAAAAGTAAACACATAAATGAGCGTTTGAGAAGCGCTGCAGCAGTGACCATAAATAAAAGATCAATAAAATCAGAAATAATGCCAAAAGAGAAACTGTCGGCACAAAACCCATTCAAAATTGCGCACAAAGACATCAAATAAAGTAGTTTGTCTAGTTATACAAAATGCCTTCAGGTGTCATAACATACAAAACATACACCAAAAGAGCTAAAGGACGTAGAGCACAAAGCAACCAAGAACAAGATGGAAAGATAATATTAGAGAAACTCAACAACAGCATGATGTTTCTGTCTATCGTGAGGCAACCGGCAGAGCAAAATGCAGAGCCTCATAGCTGCCTCCGCACTCGAAGAGAAAGTAAAGATGCAGCAGCAACAGCAGCAGCAGCTGTACCTCTCTTTCTTCACGTTCATCGGTTGTAAACACTGACAGAGAGTTCTAGTTTTTTTTTTGGGGGGGGGGGGGGGGGGGGGTTGGGCTCTAGTTTTGCTCCCGATCTTGACTGCGTACACATCTGTTCTATAAATTATGGTTTATTTGTATGCAGACTGTTGATTCCTTGCCTCTCAGGCAGATACATTGTTGACTTGACGGAAACACACTTAATTTGTCGATTTTTATCACATGCTTATTTTTCAGCAAATTGTTCATACCCCCTTCCCCCTCCCCCCAATCACGGTTCGGAACCCAAAGTAACAATCTGAAAAACAAGCATCTAGTTCTGTTGATGCTGATGTTGAAAAAAAAAAATCGTGCTTTTTCCTTTTCCGCTTGTTTGGCTAGTTCTTTTGCCTCCATTTCTTCCTCTTCTTCTTCTTCTGCTGCTTCTACTGCTCTTCTGTCTTCCTCCAGCATTGCTTTGTATTCTTCCTCATATGCTTTTCTGCGGCGGTTTGTTTTGCTTTCTGTGCTTTTTGGTGGTTTTCGACGGATTGCCTTTTCCTTTCCACTTCTTTCTTTGCGCTTTCTCTGGCGTCCATCACTTTGTTGGTGGCTTGTCGTGCGGCGCTCAGTTTGGTGCATTCTTCCTTAGTCTTGGTTAACTCTGCTTTGCTTGCTATCAGTTCTTTCTTGATAGTAGTGACTTCGATTACGATTGCCTAAGTAGCTGACTAAATGATGTCTCGGGCGGTATACGGTTTGCTGGCCTGTGTTTCCCAGCTTCTGTTGGAAGGAATCAAAGTGTAATCACCGCCACTAATGGATCCTTAGTAACCAATGGATTTATGTGTCATTTCTAGCACTGAACGATTTTGCCGTCAGTGAGTCTTCACTCCCACAATGTAGCCATTGCCAGTTAATGGTGTTATTTACTCACTGTCATTTTCATGTGGTCGCTGCAGTTACAGCAATGTTACCAACATTTAGTCTGCTACATTTAAAGGGGGTTACATGTTTAAAGTAGGTTTGGGTCCTGGTGGAACCAGGCTACAAAATTACCTTGGTTCCCTGGTCGACCCGGCCTTAAATGGGTACCAAGTGCAGTCCTGGGAAGTAAAGGCGGCTGGCGTGATGCTGACCAAATTAGCCACCAAGTACCGATTGGTCTATAAAATAGGTCTAGCCCCATATGCCGAATACGTTAGAAGGCGTGGAAAGAGGGCTTATAGTTTTACTAACATAAAGATATAAAGAGAATGAAGGTGAGATGACCCAATTCATTAAAGGTCCATTATCTTGCGTGGTTCTGTTATACTCGCGCGGACAGTTAGTGCACACACAATTTAAACTACGAAGTCCCAGAGATAACCTTCAGAAAAAAATGCACTTCTGATCCTAACGAGGCAGGAAGGAAATAATTGCACGACTTTAAGAACAAAAGGCGACGTGCTTTATTGTGTCTGTCTGTGTCTGTCTTGGTGGCTTTTACGTGGTTAGTTAAACAATCTTGTTTGAATGGACCTCCAATTTCCAGGTACCCGTTCGTCCTCCATGGTAGTTATATTTAGGGCATATGTAACGGCTGTTTCAAAGTGGTGGAGAGAGAGAGAGAGAGAGCGCGCGAGAGAGAGAGAGAGAGAGAGAAAGAGGGAGGGAGAGAGCGAGAGGGAGAAAGGGAGAGAGCCAGAGAGAGCAGGAGAGAAAAAGGTAGGAGCGAGATAGAGAGAGCGAGAGAGAGAGAAAGCGAGCGGGAGAAAGGGAGAGAGAGCTAGAGAAAAAGAGGGAGGGAGAGAGTGAGAAAGAGAGGGAGAGAGAGCCACAGAGAGAGCGACAGAGAGATAGAGCGAGGTAGAGAGAGAAAAATCGAGAGAGAGAACGAGAGAGAGCAGAAGAGAAACCCAGAGCGAGCGAGAGAAAGAGCGAGACAGAGAGCGAGAGAGAGCAGGAGAGAGACCTAGAGAGAGAGAGCGAGTGAGAGTTAGCGAGAGAGAGAGTAATAGTGAGCGACAGAGAGAGAGAGAGAGAGAGAGAGAGAGAGATAGAGTCAGAGAGAGAGAGAGAGAGAGAGAGAGAGAGAGAGAGAGAGGAGCAGCGTGAGCAAACAATGAGACATTACTTACAGAACATCCTCTGTAGTGGCACGCATGATTATCCAAGGCACAAGAAAGAACAATGGGCCGCCTGAAAGATACATAAATGTGATGTTAGCTCTAATGAGGTCGCTAATATTGGGGCCATTTTACAATCTTCGTCAGCATGGTCATCTACAGTTCCATTTCTATCGTTATCATCATCATCATCATCATCGCTACCACCACCACCAGCATCCGCATTATCTTCCCCACGAATAATGACATCTTCTTCACAACTAGCGTGATCATCACATCATCATTCTGTTATCGTGGTCATCATTAGCGTTCTCATTTGGCTATAAATAGTTGTCTTTCTCGAAAGCTGACACTTCTAAACTGTATTACTTTGCATTGTGTGTGTGTGTGTGTGGTGTGTGTGTGTGTGAGCGCGTGCGCGCGCGCGCGTGTTTTTAATTATCTGGCTATCTTTATTAACAAAACTGCTGGACGTAAATTTGCCTAGAAAAAAACACAACAGCCAAAAAGTTATGGGATTGGTTCTGCAATGTCCTGTAAAGGATACGCAACTAACTTTATTAACAACAAGGCGGTTGTTTTTCAGACAGTGTTGTTTTTCAGAGACCTGTACGCTGAAGAGACAGGTTATATTCCTAAAGACCAGTGGGTACTTTGTAGCCAACCTTCATTGCGGAGACGGCACACACATTAACAGCCACCCCCAAATCAAAAAATGGACTTCTTCTTCTTAGCGTTCACCGGTTGTAAACTCCAGGGAAAGTTCTGGACGTTCGTCCACTCCTGGACTTTGGTCATGATCCACAACCTGATTTTTGCGTGCACACCCGCTTTACAGATTCTGACTAATTTGCACGAACATGTTGGTTCCTTGCCTCTCTGACAGATGCACTTCAACTTTGAAGGAAACATCCATAAATAGTCGCCCCCTACGACATGCTTGTTGGGGGTGGGGCAAGAGAAGGGCAGGAATGATGGAACCCTAGAGCTCACACAAGGAAAATCAAGGACTTTTATTCGTGTTATAAGGACTACGGAGTATATGTTGCAAAACCTATACTGTTGATGACAGGCACTCGATGGATGATTGTATCAATTACTTGCCGGTTGACTTTATTTCCCAGGACAATTTTTGGTGTTTCCTTTAGATTAAGAACACTTGAAAAGCCAGATGTCATCAGAAAATAAGATTCCAAATCATGTGCACCAGTGTAACTACAGTATAATGGTTTCTGAGACATTTTTAAATCATTAATTTTATTGTTGACCAGTAAGTCGTAAGAACAACAGACAGACAGACCAACAGACAGTAAAACACAAAGAAACAAAGAAAAAAAAGCTAAAACAGTTTGAAAAGAACAGTTAAAATACAGAGATATAGACCGAAACAGGAATGAAAACAATAACGAATAAAAGAAAGAATAAATAAAATGTCATTTTGCAGTCCCGACGTTTACAAACGGGATCTACTGCTCGGTAAAACAGACCATAAAAACGATGGCTGGGGATTCTTGTTTCACGTTTCAGGCTGGCATTTAGGGAGAATTTTTTATTTACAGGAGACGCCCTTGGTGGAATTGCCAAGGCAAAGTTTATATTTCCTTTGCCAAGTAGATAATTTCTGGGGTAAAAGTGGATGCCATTTTTCTCGCCTTGATCTATAAACGGCCTAGGAATCGCAGTTACTAGCCTGTAGTGGTTTTGCATTTTCGTGACTCGACTCAAAACGCGGTGATTCAAATCTGTGATGGTTTCCATTAATGTATCTCTCTGTGGCTAGGGGAAAACTACAAAGAGATCATTGGCCAGGGGAGGACGCGTGGGGGGGGGGGAGAGAGAGGGGGCCTCAGGCCATCTTCCCTTTAATTGTTTAGATGTGGGGCGTCAACGAGCTTAAAGAAGATAAAATAATAATAATGATCATTTAAAATACTTAAACAAAGATCATCTATGAGGAGGCATTTAGTCTGGCCTGTGGAAGAAAAGGGAGTGGGGGAGTGTCGTACCTAAGGCATAACAACTGTGGAAAGGGGGGGGGGTCTCTAGGAGCCCAAGGCCCCCTTTCCAATGCCCCTGCTCGATTCTTTCTTAATTATAATATGTTTACTAGCTTCACATTTCAGTTCATTCGATTACTTGTTAGTCATACATTACGTTCATTAGCTTGCTTCCGAGTCAAATTTCACTCAAGGAATTCGCAGTCACGTTTCAAGTTCTCCCTCTGAAGCTGGTATTTATTCTGTTACAGTTCCTCTTTTAGTTTTTGGAATAACCTAACAAAATAATAATACTTTCCGTCCTTTTTAGGACGAAATTTTTCGTTATTTGAAGCCCTACTCTGGCTCTTGTCGGGGGCCGCAATATAGCCTGGCCATAAATATGGCATTAAGGCTGAAAGCGGTTTCTGGGACCTCTCCACGGTGATCCTCAGCCACATGGTGGCACATTGTGTCATCGGGTGTTTATCGCTTGTGTGATGTCCTGGTGGGGTAGAAAGTCAGTCAGTCAGTCTCTTTTAGTTTTCCCTTGAATTTGCCCATTTTCTCCTCTTTAACCTGTCTATTTGGTCAAAGCAAAGATTGCTGTCGCTACCATTTACTTCTCTTCTACTATGTTACCTGCCGGCATGCCAGCTTCAAAGCAACGGACCACGGATTCTAGCCGCAGAGTTGTTAATGAAGCTTTCAGTTTCTATATTGTTTAGTCTGTCCTGTGATATCTATTCCTTTTAATTATGTTTATATTGTTTAGTCTGTCTTGTGATATCTATTCCCTTTCATTTAATTTATTTCTCAGTATCTAATATTCCCCCCCCCCCCCTCACCAGCTAGGTGGTAGGTGGGTGCTTTGCTGGAAAAAACATCGTTCTGTTCAAACAACATCCCTGAAGGGGGCGCTTCAGTTGATGATCGTGACTAGCTTATGTGCGCCACATAAAACGGCTTAACATTGCAAGCTACCAAGAGCCATAAAAAGGACTCCTGCAGAGTCGAAGCGATCAAAGGAGTCAGACCCAAATACAGTCTCAACTGGCGATGATTGGCGACCCTGTCGCTGATGTGCCACCAAGCTAGAAACAACGATGTTTTTATATAGGTAGTTTCAAGTGACCGTTACTTACCCCATCCTAGAATGGTACACCAGCGGATGTACCTTCGCTCCGAGAATATGGTGACAGTCACAAGAATGTACAAGTAGAGTCCCTCCATGAAGACCCAGGCCGAGCTAGCCAGCTGTACATAGTGGAATGTGGTAAACAGAAGCTTACACTGCCAGTGCTGTGGATTCATAGATCAGTGGGTGTTGATAACAATCATTAAGTGGGAGATGAGATGATGGACATGAGGCAAATGGTATACATACACTGATCGTATTATAAAATCTGTTTTCTGCAGATGCAGCGAAATGAGATTCTAAACACATTGCGCTCGTAAATGTAACGATCCAGTCCCTAAAACAACCCATGAACCTCAGAGTGCGAGGCAAACTACTTACATAAAAAAGTACTTGTTCAGTTGACCAGGAATACATGTTACTGGCCTAGTCTGGTGCTTTGAAGCTCACATGCCCTTAGATTACATAGCACAAGAAAAGTCGTCTTCTTCTTCTTCGTGTTCAGCAGTTGTCAACTGTGGCGAAAAGTTCTGGTCGTTCATCCACTTTTAGTCCAGAATCCACTGTTCCAGAATCTGAGTGTTGCGTGTGCATCCGTTTTACAGATCTGACTCATTTGTATACAGACTGCTGGTTCTTTGCCTCTCAGGCAGATGTACTAAAACTTCCAAGGAAGCTCCCAATTCGTCGACTCTTACGACATGCTTTTGGGTAGGCAGTGTGTCTATTCTTGTTTTCCCTATAATAGGGCCTCGGAACCCACACGGGGAAGAGAAGTGTTTACCGGCCACTGTCTTCTTCGCCTTCACCGGCTGTAAATTCCGGCGAAAAGTTCTGGTTGTTCGTCCACTTAGAGACTTTCTTCTTCTTCTTCTTTTTTTTCTTCTTCTTCTTCTTCTTCTTCTTCTTCTTCTTCTTCTTCTTCTTCTTCTTCTTCTTCTTCTTCTTCTTCTTCTTCTTCTTCTTCTTCTTCTTCTTCTTCTTTTTCTTCTTCTTCTTCTTCTTCTTCTTCTTCTTCTTCTTCTTCTTCTTCTTCTTCTTCTTCTTCTTCTTCTTCTTCTTCTTCTTCTTCTTCTTCTTCTTCTTCTTCTTCTTCTTCTTCTTCTTCTTCTTCTTCTTCTTCTTCTTCTTCTTCTTCTTCTTCTTCTTCTTCCTCTTCTTCTTCTTCTTCTTCTCCGCGTTAACCGGCTGACAATTATGGATTACAATTCTGGTTGTTTATCCACTCCTGGATATTAGTTCTTGCTCCAGAACTTAGGTTTTGCGTGCACATCCATTCTACAGATCTGGCGTAATGTATTCAAACTATTGGTTCCTCGCCTCTCACTCTGATGCACTCCCACTTCGAAGGAAAACACCCAGGCAGTCGCCTTTTGGGACATGCTTGTTAGGGACAGCGGGTCTATTCTGTCCCTCGCTTTCTCCCCCCCCCCTCCCCACCCTCCGGAATGCACATGGGGCGATTAGGTTTATACATAGTCTCGTTCACTACCACAAACAGCCGGTACTGTATCCAGTTACACCCAGACGAAAGAAAAAACAAAAGAGACGGAAATTTGAATCTTCCTCCGGACCACAGGACTTTAGTTGAGATCCCTGACATGTTCAGAACGACAACATCACAAAGCTAATGACATTAGACCATGACTCTTGGCACAACAGGAGCCGTTGTTGTGGAATGAAAGGTCGTAAGTTGAGGTGCTGTCGGAGCAGCAGATGTGATACCAACCGCGTCACCCACCATGCCAATTGGTCTATAAAATATAGATCTATCTCAGTATGTCGAAGACCTTTTAAGGCAATCCATTTCTTGACGTCATCATTCCAGGTTCTTCTTTGCCCTCCTATTTATCGACTACCCCACCCCCACCCAATTTTCTTTCAAGTGCAGTCTTCGCAATCGACTCAAGTCTGACCATGTGCCCAAACCAAGCTAGCTTGCGACGTTTCATCACTGCCAAGAGACGCTCCTGATGTTCCGCCAAAAAATTGTTGTTGTCCCTGACATATTTGTTAAGTTCATGTTATAAATACCTAATTCGTAGAATTCGTCTTTAGCATTAATATTCCAAAGCCGAAATCCTCCTTTTCATTTCCACTGCGAGAGAGTCCAGCTCTCACATCCGTATAAGAATACAGACAATACCAGTGATTTGTATATAGGTTAGTTGCGTATCCTTTACAGGACGTTGCAGAACCAACCCCAACAGCCCATAGCTATTGTGTGGTGTTTTTAGGCAAATTTTAGTCCAATAGTTTGATTTGTAAATATTGACTTTCATTGTGATGCTTAAATCGCTCTTACACATCGTATTGAGGAGGTCGCCGTGGTGTATTGGCTAGACTCTCGCCTGTTGACTGGAAGGTCGTGGGTTCGGTTCCTGTCAGAGCCGAAACATTTTTATAAAACATGTCCCTGACTCTCGGTCGAGCCAACCTTAGATGAATATCAGGTTCAGTTCTGGGAAGTAAAGGCGGCGGGTGTGATGTTGATCTCATCACTCCCCAAGTGCCGATTGGTTTATCAAATATATTTCTTGCCCTATACGCCCGAAGAGTCCCTTTGTAACTTTACTTACATGATTATTATGTGTAGGGCAGTCTTAATCTTTCTCCAATAACGCACACACACATACTCGCTCACTCACACCTACACACAAATAACTAACAAGTATGTTGTCAGAGGTCACGTGACCACCTTCTATGATAACCTACCGTCCCTTCAGGATCAAATATAATATTTCCTCGCGAGTCTTCAAGGACATCCCCCGGTAACCCTAGATGTGCTATCAGTAAACTGTCCTTGAGGAATGACAGCAGAGCCCTCAGCACAAAGGCTGTAAATAAATTGAGGTGGATGATGTTTCTTGGACAATGAAGTCGTCTGCAAATACAATAAAGAGAAATGTACTTAGATACAAAGAAATCGGTATGAAACTAAGAAAATTCAACTCCAAAATCAGACAATGCTGAATGAATGAGAACCCTAGGTAAGATGCTGGAAATTATTTTCTTTTTCTAGGTTTGATTGGCTTGAGCAACGGAGCAACATCATAGCATAAGAGTAGTATCCCATGAGTGCTCCATTCTACTTCTAACTCAAGCCTGAGTCCGAAGAATCTCAGCACAGTGCACGAACTCTGTAGCACCGGCCAGGGTGCTGAAATAAGTTGGGTAGATTTGTAACTCTAAATTTTGCCCAGGTAGCGCCGCTAGGCTACTCTTTTCGATTTCCAACTGCCAAGAGAGTTTATACGTGCCCAACAATACACACGGGCGTACGATCTCACTACCCAGAGACCAGGGGAAATTACTAGAAGTCCACTTGAAAAAATCCCAACCTCCAAAGGGACCTGAACCCGGGAGCTTTAGCACTCGAGCCGGACGCCATGCCTCGAGACCACTCAACCCCGTGGAAGTTATTCTCATGACCTGACATGACAAACTGAGGGTCCCGAGAGGCCTCGTGAGTCAGATTTTGTCGTCATAAGGGCCACAGAAGACAACTTTCGGAAAAATTAAATAAAACTTTTTTGCAGAAAACAGTAGACTCTGTAATATCCGACCATTAACCTTTAACCTTTAGGACCGAAAAGGAGGCCAGATAACAGCGACCGGATGTGACGGAGTTCTCTAAAACTCAGTTTCTATTCAATCCGTATGATTAAAAACACGTCGTGCTGAGATAAAAGAGTCAAAACACGCAATTTTAGTGTTTGAAAAAGTCCTTGATAGATGACTGATCTAAGAATGTTTGCCTTCTTCCCTCTTCATTGTCAGGAAACTTTTTTTTGTGTGTGTGGTAACTAGACCGCATAATATAGAATTATGTTAATCGCAAACAGGATAATCAAGGTTCTACTGTATTTCTTTCGTGCAGGTCGCAGGCGTGCATGAAAATGGCCGCAAGTGGCCCTCGGGCTGCCGGTTTGACATTCCTGTCTCAGGCGATAGACTGGCAAACTGAGGAGGATATGTAAGGAGAAAGACGAAGATCTAATGAAAGAGATATAGAGGTTCACCAATCAATAAAGATTCAACAATCAACAGATTTAGATGTTCACCAATCACAAGACACCAGCAAACGAGTAATCAAAATAACAGATAAATTGACCAAATAACTGGAATGATGACAGACGAACAGGACGTTCACCGGCTGACTGAACTACATCGTGAATGTGACATCGAAGCAAACAATATGCATTTAGAGATATACATGCTTATTAAATGTTATAATAACAGACGAACAGACAGACAGACAGACAGACAGACAGACAGACAGACAGACAGACAGACAGACAGACAGACAGACAGACAGACAGACAGACAGACAGAGAGATAGAGAGATAGAGAGATAGATAGATAGATAGATAGATAGATAGATAGATAGATAGATAGATAGATAGATAGATAGATAGATAGATAGATAGATAGATAGATAGATAGATAGATAGATAGATAGATAGATAGATAGATAGATAGATAGATAGATAGATAGATAGATAGATAGATAGATAGATAGATAGATAGATAGATAGATAGATAGATAGATAGATAGATAGATAGATAGATAGATAGATAGATAGATAGATAGATAGATAGATAGATAGATAGATAGATAGATAGATAGATAGATAGAATAAAGGGGAATAAAGATCGGCTTAGCAAAAAACGAGTCGCACACCAGACACACCAAAGAGACTTAATCAACATAGAACCGGTACTATTAGCCATCGGACATTGGGGTTCATACTGAGGGGAGGATCTGAGCATCTATGGAAATGTCCAGAGTGCAATGATGATAACCCAACTTACTAACTAGCTAACTAACTGACTAACTAACTAACTAACTAACTAACTAACTAACTAACTACTAACTAACTAACTAACTAACTAACTAACTAACTAGCTAACTAGCTAACTAGCTAACTAACTAACTAGCTAACTAACTAACTAACTAACTAACTAACTAACTAACTAACTAACTAACTAACTAACTAACTAACTAGCTAACTAACTAGCTAACTAACTAACTAACTAACTAACTAACTAACTAACTAGCTAGCTAACTAACTAACTAACTAACTAACTAACTAACTAACTAACTAACTAACTAACTAACTAACTAACTAACTAACTAACTAACTAACTAACTAGCTAACTAACTAGCTAACTAACTAACTAACTAACTAACTAACTAACTAACTAACTAACTAACTAACTAACTAACTAACTAACTAGCTAGCTAACGAAGGAAGAAGGAGAAGAACAATCAGATAGTTACACACAAATATAAACACACTTTCTGCTATCTTCAGGAACTTACCGAAAATAGATCATGATAAAAATAGCCACGGCGAGAGCAAACAGCGACACCCCGTAGCCAATACTGTACATCAGTTTGATTCGTTCTATGTGTTCCTGGATGGAGGTAGGCAAACAAATAAACAAAGTAATGCAATAACACAAAGCTGGTTTCTCAAGCCACAGGAGGTACCACATTCCTTTTTTTTTTTTCTTCATGCAAAAAATGTTCATGATAAAGTGCCATGTAGTTAAGCTGGGTTGAGTTTAGTTCATCACAAAGATATAGAATGTTTCCAAAGAGTGTAAACACTTTGAAATTTGTTCATATTTATTAATTTATGACTCACGAAGAGAACTGATTGCCCACATCAGAAAGAGACAATCTACATTCTTTGGTCATGTCAAAGTTTGGCGACGCTTAACCGGCTCCTATCTAAGCGTTGGTTTTCTGGTCGGCCTGGTTTCTGTGTGGTTTATTTTTGTAGATTCTTTGTGATGTGATGTCACATCTAAGTTTTGTTTTTGATGCTGTTTTCCTCTGTCTGCTTCGCATTGGGCTCAATCTGGCGTGGTTCGGGCGGAATGTTGTCGTTCAGCATGGCAGGGAGGGAGGGGGAAAGGGGGGGGGGGGGGGGGTTAGCCGTTCTGAAAAGAATGGTTACGTGGCCGGGGTAGGCCATTGTGTGGGAAAATGGGCGGGACTGCTGAGGTTCGGTTTGGGCTGGCTCGTGTGGGGGAAAAAAAAAGAATTTATGTTTGAAATCAAGGCTGTTCAAGATCTATGAATGAAAAACGAACGTGTGTAGTTGGTATGACCAGTCAATCATTTTATCAATCAATCAACAATCAGCTCCCGTCTCTAAAACGAAGATTGGCTGCAGTGGATCTTAAACATGCTCACTCTCACCACTTGGGTTTCCACTCTCTCAGACTGTTCATCTCTTCCAGCTATCTTCCCACCTGTATGGCTTTTTGTCTGTTGCTCTCTTGCCTCCAACCTTCACCTCAAGTACGGTGTTTATAAGGACTACTCTGTGACTATGGTATAAATGTTTCACTTGTGTTCTGTGTTATTTCTTTCTGCAACTCTCTTTTCATTCTCTGTATTTTTAGAACCTGAAAAAAAAGATCCATTCTTATGTATATTCTCATCTCCAGAGATTCAGTTCGATATTTTTAATTCCTTGCCCATTCAGTATGCGATTTCATATGATCCATCGCCTCTGTTCAAATTGTCGAACGTTTGATTTTGTTGTTGTTTTCAATTACCCTTTTGCACGCCCATAGACTTATTGAGTTCACAGTGCTGGAACAATATTTTACAGTCCGATTCGCACACGGTCAAGGAGGTGGTCAACATCCTGCCGGCCACCTTTACTTTCCTGGACATTAGCTGGTATCCATTTTAAGCTGGGTTGACCTGGGAGCCAAGGTCATGTTTGACAAACATCCAACTCGATGCGGATTTGACCCCACAGTCTTCTCCACGACAGGCGAGCGATTAGCCACAGCGGCTCCGTAAAAGTTGTGGAGTAAACACTGATGTTAAATATTTCCCGAGGTTTAGGCTGCAATATTGTGCTTACATTGGTATAAGACACCCTACAGATTCAAACCTCTGCTATAGTTCCGATAATGCCATTTGTTCAACTGTCAAGATAATTATAAACAACGCGACATTTGATTTTTCATAACAAAAAGTGCATAAATCAATAAACAGCTACTGGGCTACTAATGCTACACTTGGCCCATATCATTATAAAGAAATGACTGCCATTTCCACTTCTCTGACATTTAATTTATGGGTAAGAGTATCGAAATCAATCAAAGACACTTTTCATACCAGTTTAACATAGGGAAAATGTCACTAGACCCAGCTTGGTAAAGACTAATCAATATTACATACATAGTGTAGTTAGCATTATGCTTTCCGCCTTTACTTTCCAGTGATATTTCCTGAAACCATTTTAAGCTGACCGAAGGGTAATTTTTCTAACAACTGAGCTACGGAGCCTCTCATGTTATCTAACGCTGCTCTGACATTAGCAGCTTTAAAAAAATGTGGGACGCAACTTTTCGTTTTTTTAAAGCCCCACCCCGGCTAGTTGAGGAAACGGGGTTTTGGGGACTTGTGCCCGGGTGATCCTCCTCCTAATCGTGTCTCTTTGAGTCACAGTGTGTTGGTCCCTCATTGTAGGGTCCTGGTAGGGTTGAACAACACACACTTTTGCCGCTTCTTCTACGTTCCAGAATATTCTCTTGTGCCAGTTCTATGTACCAAGTCAAGGTCCGTTGAAAAAAAAAATGTATACCCTAATGTAGACTTGAACACATACCACAGGAGCGGCATGCGAACAGGCTAGCCGACGCTCTAACCTCGGCTTCTATGTAACAACAGTAAATTTGATTGATACGTCTATATTCTATATAGTTCGTAGTTTATCAATTAACGGACACAGATGTGCAAAGTACACCGGCATATGATCATATTACAGTGACAGTTTCATTTAGCAAGAAAACGATGTATTTATTTTCATTATCTGGTGTTGGTTCAATTATGAATGATGAATTGCTGGCAAGTGGTAGATAGACAGACAATTACCTCTCGCGGCAGACAGGCAATTAATCATTTAGCCTTAAAATATGGCTTCTGTCAAACTAATGTATTTATAGACACCATAGAACAGTCCGAAAAATTATTATATATTTTCGCTGACAGCAGCAATAAAGATTATTTATTACGATTTAGCAAGTCGACTATGTGGGATTATACCTGGATCATTATAGATCGAAAAAGCGAACAACAACAGCTACAATAAACAGCTAACGGGAAATTCAATTCTTGGAATGCCAGCAGACTAGGAAATAATGAACCAGAAACATTTAAACAGGCTAAGTTCAACTCGCAGAAGAATAACTTGAAAATAAATAATTCTGCTGAAGGTCAGCAGAATCTCCAGTCCGCTACATATCGGGTTGAATGGTACCTGTCTGAAGCAAGTTAAAGAAATTAAATAACGAGGAAGTATATTCTGGGTGGACGGGAGAATAGAACGGGAAAAAGAAACAAGATGCCAACGAGCTAGTACACTGATATACCAATTGACATCGTTATTCAGACATCCAAACATAGGTTTGAGCGCCAATAAACAGATTATAAACAGTATACTCATTCCAGCATATTCGCACCAACACTGTGCTACCAGTGCCAGACTTGGACATTATCAAAGGCTAACCTGCGTGAAATTAACACTTGTGAAAGGAGATGCCCCAGAGAAGCCACCAACTCAACCATACAATACAAGTCAAAGTTAGAAATGATTTTATCAGACTGTAGGAACAACACCAGGCAGCAAATTCGTTGAAACAAAATATCAAATGGTTTGGTCATTTAGTAAAAATGCAGCTAGAGCAACTGCCTAAGCAGGCTTTAGCATGAAAAGATGAGACGTGAAAGCCCTAGGAAACCTTGGATTGATAACAGTAATCAGCTTCTTCATCGACACGAAATGACAATAGCAAATCCTGCCCATCAAGTAACGGATCGCAAACTGTTCCTCCCCACAACGCTTAACTGCAAAATTGAAAGTGATGATAATTATGATGATTATACAAGCAAATAAATACAGTTACTACTAGACGTTATTAATAAATCTTGTTGTTGTTGTGTTGTTGCTGTTGTTATTGTTGTCGTTTTTTCTTCTTTTTCTTCTTCTTCTTCTTCTTCTTCTTCTTCTTCTTCTTCTTCTTCTTCTTCTTCTTCTTCTTCTTCTTCTTCTTCTTCTTCTTCTTCTTCTTCTTCTTCTTCTTCTTCTTCTTCTTCTTCTTCTTCTTCTTCTGCTCTTTATTCCCAGTGGAGCATCGGCCAACTAACTCACGCCAAATCGTCTTTTTACTTGCTAACTTTGTCGGCTGCGTATTATTTGTCACTCTTTAGAATTGTTTATGGTTGAATAGTGCTCTGGATTTTGTGTTTTTTACGGAATAGGGTAGCCATCCTGAAGCCCAACTCTATTCTTACGAAATGCCTGGTAAGCTGCAGTGTTGCTTTACTTTGCTTCCAGCGAGGGCTATGGTAACACATGAGCTGAGCTTTACAAATGGACAAATGTAAAACAGACACAATACAGCATCCTCGAAGATTTACCTCTGGTACAAGAGGCACGTCGGGTGTAGAGGCATCCACATGCCTGCAGCTTGTGTAGTTGGTCCATGTGGTGTTTATCTCGGAGTGAATGAACCACTCTCCGTTGTCCATGCATTGTCTTGTTGCCTTTGCTGGGGAAATTGACAATGATATGACAGTCATGGCTGGAAAGTAATCTGACTGATATTATTAATGCCCTCAGAGAAATGGGAAGGATGGAGGACTTTGGGGCCAATGAATCCACATCCCTCGCCAGAATGGCAGACACGGAAATTAAGATCGGCATAGCAAAAAACGAGACGCACATCAGACACACCATAAGATTTGTTAATCAACACAGAACTGGTACGATTAGCCATCGGACTTTGGGGTTCATACTGAGGGGAGGATCTGAGCATCTATGGACATGTCCGGAGAGCAGTGATGATAAACCCCACTAACTAACTAACTAACTAACTAACTAACTAACTAACTAACTAACTAAGTAATCTGATTGGATTTTAACATTAATTATGAAACACGTGGAATGTTTTATTTACTTGTTAGAAGAAAAGAGTTGCACATGTAATTTATAAATATTGCTAGACAAATGGAATATATTAAATCGTGCTGGAAATATAAGGTACTTAATTTATAACTTACCCCTGACGTCACGACAACGTCACGGGAGACATTCCCAATAAATTCTAGGGTGTTCAGGTTGTAGTTTCTCGCGATTTATCTACAGCAAAGTTTAGGGTTATGGTTAGGGTTAGGGTTAGAATACACTAGATGAACACTCAAAAACAGCACCACACAACAGCACACTTGCACCCCTTGAAATAATGGACTGTCAGGTCAGCTGTGGATTTCCCACGGGAATTTCGTGTTTGGGTTACGTTATAAATTAAGAACCGAAATAAATATAATATACATGAAATATGTAAAATTTTAGCTGGGAAGAATTGAGAAAATTTACATTTTACCTTGGTGGTGGGAAGGGGGGGGGGCAGGGGGAATAGGACAAATGAATATGTTAATACTGCTGAAAAGAAATTAAGAGTTTAGACTGGACAAACGAATGTGTTAATTATTCGGCACGAACACCGGCCAGGATCCTGAAATACTTTTGATAGATTTTTAACACAAAATTTTGCCCGGGCAGCACCATTGGGCAATTCATTTTGATTTCCAACTGCCAATGGATTTTTTTAACGTGCGGAAACAATACACACGGGCATCCGATCTTACTACCCAGAGACCAGGGGAAATGACCAGAAGTCCACGTGAAACATATTTATTTACTCAGATGTTTAACTCGCATTGTAGGGGAGCTGGCAACAAGAACCGTAGTGATGTAGTAGTGTGTATGCTGACCTGCTGAGATAGTGGTCGATGTTACATCAAAACCTCGCTAACATGAACTTGTTCAAGACGAAAACTGGTTAACATGAAACAAATGTTGGTTATAGCAGGGATGTATTATTCATAGTATATCTGTTAGTCCCAGGTTAGTTCGAATGTTTTTTACAGACGCTTGATGTCTCGGCCCCTTGAAATTCGTGTAAACAACGTTGTGCTGTACATCTATTTGTCCTCGGGTAGTACGCTTTTTTTTAAAACATACGCTAGATTTTTCAGCCTCTTGAAATTCAAGATTGTGCTGTACATATATTATTAGTTGCGCATCCTTTACAGGACGTCGCAGAACAAACCCCAGCATTATTTGGCCGTTGTAGTTTTTCTAGGCACAGCTTATGTTCAGTAGTTTTGAATTTGACCCCTAAAGGATCCACTGTCGGTACCACTGTCATACTACTAGAGTGCAGGCTAGCCTCAGTCCATGATTAACATACATCCAAGGACAAGAGAAGATGACTTTGGAGGAAATCGTTCTCTATTTCCTGATCAATGATATGGTGTGTGTGTGTGGTTTGTGTGTGTGGTGTGTGTGTTGTATGTGTGGTGTATATGTGTGTAGTGTGTGTGGTGTGTGCGTGCGTGCCTGCATGCGTCCGCGCGTGTGTGTGTGTGTGTTTTAATGTTTCCACAGTTGTACCGAACATTGGCATGGCCTAATGTACAGATTAAAAGCTCTTGGTTTTGGGATTTCATTGTCACGTCTTTTTTCTTAGTGACTTAAACGTTGTTGTTATTGACTATGCACAAGTCAACGTTGTTATACATTTTGTTTTAAAACGCCTACAGAATGTTCTAGTTTTGCTGTGTCTTGAGTGAAGACTTCTCAAGAGACTGAATGTGATTGCATCAAGACAAAGTAGTCGGTTTATTGAGTTTTAATGTGAAATGCTGTCATATACAGTAAGACCTTGCTAGTTTGTGTCATAATACCGCTAATCGGGGACTAATAAACGTATTATGAGTAATACAGTCCTGCGGAAATCAAAATTATTTTCCTGTTAACAGTGAACACAGAACCACATGTAAGCTTGAAGTCAATAAGCTGCCTCAAATCCAAATCGATCGGTTTGTCCCTTCTTGGCTACTGACTAAAGGCTTACCCTACCAGCCTGATATTTAAAAAGTCACAGTCTGGATGGCAGACCAACAAGGCAGCAGTTAGTTCGATGTTAGTCCAATTCCAATTCCAATTCGTCCAACAAAAATTTCAAATTTGATCCTCTTTCAGCCGCCCGGAGGCCTGCTATATCGAAGAAGGGTCCTTAGCTGTCTTATATGGTTTCCTTTTATTTGTGGTGTGTAGTCACACCTGATATTATGGTTGTTTGCTTCCTTGCTGCGGTGTGGTGCTTGTGGTTTTTGGTTCTGGTGTGATCCAGATCTACTTTGTGATGATATCGACGGGTACTAGCTGACTGTTGCTGGTGCTTGGCTTGCCTCGTGCTGGTCGCTGTGCTGGTGCCCTGTTGCTGCTTGGTTGCCGTTCTGTAAGCCGCCGGAAAAAGCCAAACATCCGTTGCGCCGTTATGAACAATGTTCCTTTTCAGGACAAACAGGGTCGTCACAATCTGTTGTTGTGATCGGCCCGGGTTTTTTTTTTTCCACGGAGTGTGGAGAAGTAGTGGATGTAAGATAGACTGCAAATGAGAGATCAGTTTGCCCGAATGTGCCAGGAGATGTGATAGTTAGGTCGGGAGAATGAGAGTGACAGGTAGAGGTAGGATCCACCCTGGTCGGCTGAGGTCGATGTTAGTCTCCTCAGACCCCGCTTATATACACAATAGCTCATTTCTGATTGGTAGTTCCTGAGACCGGTGAGCTTCTCTCAAGGTTACGGAGTTTTCCGCAATGCCGTTGATATCGCTTGTTGTATATTTCAGCACGCCAGCGCTTTTAACACTCCAAAAACATGGAGAAATTGGGTTTCATCACCCCTCTCACCCCCCCCCCCCCCCTTTTCAGAGAGTGCTGGAACCTATATCCCATACATTCTCTTTCTTTGAATAAAAACGTAAATGCAAGACATCGTAAAAACCAAACAACAGAGCGGGACACTTCCGTAACCTTCAAGAATGTCGACCAGCCCAACAAACTTGTGAATTAAAAGTGACCTACTCTATTTGGGGAGACTAACGTTGAACTAACCCCAGGCACATCATAGATACAATTCAAACTCTAAAGCAGTTTTAAGTAAGGCACCTGTAACGACTAAATCAGTCTATGAAACGTGCAGACTTATGCAGGTCTCAGGACGACCAAATGGGTATTGATTGCAATAGATTGCCTGCTATCTTTTGGAACATTTTATGAAACCCTGTGTCGGTGTCTATGGCTTAGGTGTTGCGAACGCGCTTCGTAATACCGAGGTGCCGGGTTTGATCCCAACTACGTACGGCTGGTCTTGCGTTGGTTTCAGCAGTGGTACCGAGAGCTGACCGTTCAGTTAGCAATGGCAAATTACTGAACGTAAAATTTGCCTTAAAAAAACCACAACAGCTAAAAAATGCTATGGTTACTTCTGCAACGTCGTGTTTAAGATACGCAACGAACTTAACTAAGCCCTCTGAGGATTGTGAAAATAATTCACTAATCTATGTAAGCTACATATGAGCAATAAGTAGTCATTACTGACTTTTTTTTAAAGCACCTTGTTCACAGTTTAACTGACTGAAAACCCGAGGGGTAATTAAATTAGTCTATTGTGACAGTCGGCTCTGTGGCTAAGTTGATGCGAACGCTTCATAATGCTGGGGTGCCGGGTTCGATCCCAGCTGCGGGCCATGCGCCTTGCGTTGGTTTCGACAGTGGTATCAGGGAGCCGACTGTCCAGTAGAAAACAATGTCAAACTACTGGACGTAAATTTGCCTAGAAAAACCACACAACAGCCAGTGGCTGCTGGGGTTGGTTCTGCAACGTCCTGTAAAGGATACGCAACTAACCTTAACCTATTGTGATATGGACTTACCGTGAAGAAAGAACTGGTTCACATACCAGGCACACTGTAACTCAGCCGTCTCCCCTGCCTGGGTCGCCGGCCAGCACATCAGCCCATCCCATGCTGCCTTGCAATAGTTACCTGTTGACGTGAATTTTTCCTTCAATTCAAAGCAAGAACTTCAATACTCGTTTTAGCAATTGTTCCGTAAGTGTAAATCAAAGAACAACCCTCACATTTTAACAAATATCTTTGAAGGATTAATACGAATTTGTGCAACTGACCTTAGATTTCCTATATCTTTGTTATAGTATATCTTACAGTTACACAGGCTGCTGCTGTTTCTGAAATCGACGAGAGTCTTTGATCTTCATTTGCCAAATAATTTCAGTGACCCTAAAAATAGATTATACCGTAATTGGCATAGGCGTGGAAATTTTGGAAATCAGTTCACAAGTGCAGCTACGCGAGATCATTTTAAAAGCCTATCCCACATCCAAAGAATATCTCACTAGAAGTTAATGCTGAAGATGATCATCTGAGAATGAAACGCATTTGAAACACTTGCAATCTGATGTTTTGAAAAGTTTCCATTACTCTGTAAACATTGAGCATGCTGACTGTTGCCTTTGGAACGGTGTCTGTTTTTTTCTTGAAAAATTTATCTTTAATAATGTAAAATGATAACTAGATGCTCGTTTACATTTTTTTAAACATGCCTGCAGGGGAATGATTATTAACAGGCTGCCAAATTTCAACAACTTACACCGAAAAGTTACTGAGTTACACATTGTTAATTAAATTGGGCACGAAATCCGGAATGGGCTACACGTAATGGTTCATCTGCACCGCAATTTAACGTGCTTAGCACTCTTGACTTCCTTAACAACGGTATTGACAGGTAACAAGACAATGGCATGGTTCTGTAATTTCTATGCGAAATGAAATGAAAAATATTTGTTGATGTATTAAGTAAAGAATGGATTGAGAGAAATAGCTGATGTGTGCGGCCCCCTCCCTCCACCCTCCCCCCCCCCCACCCCTTTTCGAAAAGGATCTTTTGACCCAATACATTATATTTCAGGAAGTCTGTAATTAGTCGCCTTTTAGGACTGGAATGTTAGGTAGTAGCGGGTATGTTTTCCTCGAAATAGAGAAAACAATAAAAGTCGATAACGGCGCTTACCAGACAACTAGGTCAAGCTTGACCATGGAGATAGCTGCTGGTTCCAGAGCACTGGCCTGGGAAGCAGAACAAGAGACTACACATGCGGTAATCGTTTGAGACTGAAGGAACATGCTTTAGAAAATCGCTCTGGATCTACACACCTGGGCACGCAGGAGTAAATGGCAATGAAAGAGCAGACCAGCTGGCAAGTGATGTACCAGTGCAAGTGGGAAGAAGCTTGAGCAGAGCTGATATCGTCAACGATGTACAGACTGGGTTCGGGTGAGAGGGGCGGGGGGGGGGGGGATTGGATAGCGATGAATCTCTGACTCTATCATGACTGCGTGGCGGAAGAGTTAAACTTGGTGAAGCACTTCTCTGCTGTCTTTGAGATAAGGAGGGGAGATACTGTAACCAACTCCTCATGGGAACAATCAGTAGAGGTACCTTGGAGTGGCTGCTGCATCGGAGGACTGAGCACGCATGGGTATGCTCAATGTGCAAAGACGTCGATTGTGATAACATAAAATAATATGCCTTAACACAGAGGTGTCGGTACTGCACACATCTGTGTACCGCCAGAAAAACAGTCCTGGTTGCCACAGTCATATAGTTGAATATATTTGCGAGACGTAAATAAACACATGTTTGTTGGGTTGAAAATGTATGAAAAGAAGGACTGTTCTATAATTATATTTAAGGAAGCAGCGTGTTGGTCGACAAACCTGTTGAAGTCACTTCGTCCGCAATACCCTTGTGGCATTGCAGTCTGGCCTTGTCTATCTCCTTCTTCTGTTCTTCCACAGATATGTCCACCAGACTCTATGGAATAAAAATACAACATTCAGTATGATGGCGTGCTAATACAGCTCACAAAGCAACTCAGTGAACTTCATCAGAATTTGTGTTATCATCTTGCACACTGTCAGCTGGAGTTAACGAGCACTTACGATTTACAGTCTTAACTGAGTGTCCTATAGAGATTGTGAAAACTTAGCCACTTATGGGTGTGTTGTGTACTACTCTCTAAGGAACGCTCTCATTGACGAGCCATGCAAATGTATCTGTGTATCTGTTTGATATAGAGTGATAGATAGGTCTATGACAAGCACCTTTGTCAGTTCGACCACTGATTGCCTTACGTACCATTCTCTAAAACATTCCAGAATTTTTTCTCTGTTGATCTCTGTCCATAACACAATTGATATTCGTCCTTGCCCCATTTTTGTTTTCAAAACTCACTCGTCGTATAACTGTTGCTACAAAGTGTGTTTGAAACTTCTCTGATTTATTTATCTTTCTTGAAGTCGTTACATTTAACGAGTTGTATTTTGTTTGGGAATTCTTTTAAATGGAATACAGCAGAACAGAATCTCTAGAACCGTGAGTGTTCTTTAGCGGTATGAGCAGCTACAGCGTACTACATGAGAACTGCAGGCTACAAGGCAAGAGGTCGACCAAGAAAGATATGTGTGGATGGAGTATTTAAAAAAAAAAATACACAACAGATACGCAGTATAACATTAACAAAAGCAACGCAACCAGCAAAAAGAAAGGAAAATACACTTGACTCCTTTCAGCGACACATTGTGGCATAAGCTGATGATTATCATTATCAACCACCCACCCCCCCCCCCCCCCCCTCACCCCCATCCCCTCCCCAACTGATATTATAATTTTAAAATGCATTCGTTGTTACGATTCTAATACAGACGGACTTTTGTGTAACAAGGCTATCAATGTGTAAGGGGTCCGGTGCAGATTCAACACATAAATGGGTCAAAGCATCTTCTAGGTAATTAGGAACCACTGATCTGAAACAGTGTTTCTCAACCTTTTACATCCACGGCCCACCGAAAATGTGGAAATTGTGCAAACATAAATACATCTTTAAATGTAGAAAACGGTGTACCTGTCAAATCTGATGTCACAACATTACAATTTTTAGCTAAAGCGACATCTGCTACAGCTTAGATGTTAAAAAATATGATGTAAGTGGCTGCAGCTTCCATTCTGACAGACAAAGGTCTACAGTAACATTTATTCGATGTCTTAAGCTCTATACACTCAGATATGAAATTGTTTTTGAGTGCCCATCCAGCAGATTGCAATTTTGCACACACACATCACACACATCACACACAAAAAAAAGGAGGGGGTACTACCTACCCTACCCCGTAACATTATTGGGTAGACATTTGTGGCCAGACATGAGTTAAAGAATCTGAAGCCCTACTCTGGCTCTTGCCAGGGGCCGCAATTTAGCCCGGCATAAATATGGTCATCCTCATCCACATGGTGGCACTTTGTGTCATCGGGTGTTATCGCTTGTGTGATATCCTTTTGGGGTAAAAGAAGATAGAGATAAAACAACATTCTGAGAAATATTTTTATTAGAAGATCATAGCCCTTATGGGTATTACCCCCCTTTCCTCAGCCCCCTAACCCCTCACCTCCCAATATCTTGACCCTGTTCAATATGTATTTGCAGGTTAAAGTTGGGGGTGCTCGATTACATTTCTTTGTTTTTGGTACACTTGATTGCTGCAGTAGTTTAGCTCATCTTCCAACTGTTTTTCTTCGTCAACCAAAGAATTATTTATTCGTTAACCAAAACCTGCCAGATTGTACTTTCTAAACCAAAGCGCATTTCAGTACTGCCACAGTGTTTCAGTTATCGTAAAATTATAGTGTTTATGAACCAGTTTTCTTCGATATTAATAGTTTAGAAAACGTCAGTACTTTATTTTGTGTAGATACTGGATATTCTCAACAATAAAAAAAAAAAACTAACAATCTGTAACGATTAGCTCCCCTGATCCTAGTCAAATAAGCACGGTTATCTCCTCCTCTTATCTAAACAAGAGAGAGATATAATCGGTGGACATTTCTCTGGCGTGGGCACAAGTGCAATTACCTCTTCAACAACAGAAACCCTAAATTGATGACAGTTGAACGAATGTCAGTGCTAGTGCGTGCGTGTGAGCTGATCTATGTACGTGTAGGCCGGTTGATTTGCTGACATCGGCCGGATACGTTAGAATCTAATTCGGCGATTTGGCTAAAATTATCCTCCTCCATCTTCTGTCTTGAAACATTAGGCCAAAGGTAGAACAAACAAGAAAGTGATCTTCAATGGTGGGCTTCATCTATAAGGCTGATTCATTCTTCTTAGCATTCACTGGCTGTAAACTCCAGGACTTCAGTTTTGCGTGCACAGCCGTTTCACAAATTTGGGTTATTTGTATGGAGACTGTTGGTTCCTTGCCTCTCAAACAGATGTACTTTGACTTAGAAGGAAATATCCCTAATTGGTGGCCTTCATGTATGTTTGTGTGTACGTATGCCTGTGTGTATGCATGTTTGTATGTATGTGTGTATATATGTGTGTATGTAATGTATGCACACATGTTTGTGTGTGTAAGTGATTGGGTGAGCGTGTTTATGTGGGTGTATGTATGCACGCGCGGGTTTTTGCATGCACTTTACAACTCATGCTTTTGTGTTCTTTTATAATATTCATAATATGCAGATCATCATATGATCATAACATGCTTTATTAGTAAAACACAACTGCTGTGCGAAAGATGGTTGACTGGAAGGGCCGAATGTAAGACGGGCCTGCGTGCCCAATTTGTGACCCTTTGAAAATAAAGTTCGTTCGTTCGTTCTTTTTAGGGAGGCAGTGGTTCTACACTTCATTCTCCAAATAGAGTTTAAAAACCCGCAAGGAGAGGAGGTCGTGATCAGGGACATATAGATTATCGTTTTTGTCAGTTATCAATTGCCCATTTATCAACCGTAACTAACTATGGTACTAGCTTTGTATTAGACGTTGAAGAATTGGTCTTACAGAGGATTCTTTAACTACTAAACAACGCTGTTTTACAATTTTTATTAAAAAAAAATTTTTTTTTAATTATTATTTTGCGCCATTTACTATGTATGACAGCTTTAACTGGTTGAATGCACACAGAGACAACATTACATACAATCAGAAACAGTCATACTTACATATCCATCATTTGCGGTGTTATGAACTGTTCCCATTAGCTAAAGAAGACAACCACCTCCACACAAAATATAATTCCAAAAAGACATCGAGATTGTAGTGGCCGAGGAGTAGTAGCCCTGTCTGATGTTATGACAGGAGCAGGATCAACACTTGCCAGTATTACAACAAGCTCCTTCAGAAACTAGCTCCAACCTTTGCTGTTCCAGTAGAAACTAAATATAGAAGTGTTTATACTTAGCAGTCATATCAGATCTCTTAACATTTCCAGCACAGATGTTGATAGTCCTAGTAGATGTTTTGAGAGTCTTTGCAGATCTGTTAAAAGTTCTGCACAAATCTAGCAGACGTCCTACACAAATATGAGATATGACTAATGAACTGTGTCATCCTCACGGCACTCCGGACACGCCTAAAAGTGCTCACATCCCTCTCTCTATACACATCAAAATTCCTCGGTTAATAATGCTAGTTCTGTACCGGTTGACAAGACTTCTATATCCGATGATTCCCTAGGCCAGTCTTTGCTCCCAGTTCCCTATATAAATCTATTGATAGTGTTAGCCGACTCGTTGACAATCTTAGGAGATTTATTGATTGTACTGGCCGATCTGTTGACAGTAACTACACATCTGTTGATAGTGCTAGTACATTTACTGACGGTCCTGGGGAAGCTATCGACAATACACCAATTACCTGCTGGGGAAAAACGGAAAAGAAAAAAAGTCTTAGCAAGTCTATTAACAGGTCACGTAGATAGCAGAATACCCTCGCTGTACGGAAGATGTGTCACCGCCCGGTTTTCACAACAGGAAGTTCTTCACAGATTCAGTCGTGAAGGACCGTTCATACATAGATGTCATTCAAAGAATGAAATCAAAGCTGCATGTATACTTGGCAATGCATTACTCAGCAACGAGAAAACTGTGATGATATGTGACAGTCTAGTGAAAATCTGGCGATAACGCTAAGTTTAGCACCATTTTTGTACACTCCAGCTCTATGTGTTTCTTCCTGAGGAAAGAGAGAAAGAAATCTGCTTGTTAATATTTTCAACAACAACAAAAACACAAATAATCTTTGTAAATTCAAATTTAAAAACAAAACAATACACTGCTAAAAGTTATTGCTCAACATTTTTCGCGGTATCTGGGAAAGTGCATTTCTACAGGGTAATCTTGTAAATAACTGACGCCTGGGGGGGGGGGGGGGGGGGGGATTAAATCGTATGACGGAATCACTAATGTCGAGCTTTCGGAGAGAACTAAACAAGTTCTTGTGGGCCAAGAGTTGAAGAAAAGACACTGACGTTGGATAGGACACACGCTGAGAAAACCTGAGAACATCATAACTGAACTATCTTTGCACTGGAACCCACAGAGGCATAGAAAAAGAGGAAGAAGAGGGGAAAAAACCCGAAGAAGGGAGCTAGAGAGTAAACTTAAAATTATGGAATAAGGACAGGGGAGAGCTGAATGTGATAGAGAATGATAGAACCACCTGGCATGAGTTGGTCGAGGGCCTTTGCTCCACGGGGGGATGACATGGATGTCAGCGGTTCCTTTATCTATCTCTGTGTGGATTTCAATGCCCAGTTTTATTTGTCTGGAAAAGGGGGGGGGGGGGGGGGGGTAGACCCACTGCCAACTAACAAGCCTGTCGTAAAAGGCAACTAATTAGGCTGCTTCCTTCAAAGTAAGACTAAATATGCCTAAGAGGTGATGACCTAATTGTCTGCATACAAATAAGCCCGTCTGTAAAACAGATATGCACGCAAAACTCAAGTTCTAGAACAAGATCAAAGTGCAGAAGTGGACGAATAACCAAAACTTTCCACCAGAGTTGACAGCCGGTGAACCATTATCAATATCACAATGTCCCCGTGTGGATTCCGGGGTCCCACTGTGGGAAAAATATTAATAGACCTATTGCCTGCCCAAAAGCATATCGTAAGATTCGACTATGGGAGCTTCCTTCGAAGTCGGAGCAAATCTGGCTTACAGGCAAGAAACCAACAGTCTGCGAGCACATGAGTCGCACCTTTGAAACGGATGCCCACGCAACACACAGTTTCTAGAACAGGACTAGAGACCAGAAATGGACGAACAACCGCTGGAGTTTAAAGCCGTTGAACGGA